CACAGCCTTCCCCTCATCTACCAGGCGATCGTTAACGTCAGTGTCTGTAAGGCACTTTATGGATTACTCAGCAATAGATTTGATTTCCTGAGTTCTCTGATATTCAGTACAATTTGTACTCTTTCTTTTACCTGCCCTGGCTGTATGTATTCACCATGCTGTTCACATCCAATATCAAAGATGTATTTGCCATGACCTACAGGCTGAATAAAGATACACAAGAGTCAGCAGAACTGAACAGTTAGCCCATTCTAAGCACATAAATGTAAAACATCCTTTCCTACATAATCCATACATTAGTCAATAACACTATAGTTTGACTGCAAAGTCACAGAGAAACTTGGCATTGTGTGCTACAGATGAATTCAGTTTCATATGTTACACTTATGGAATGAGAAATGCTACAAAAGATCTGGAGTTAAGCTGCTTATTTTAAGTGGAAACAGATCATATTAAGGCAATTCTATGCTAACTGTTCAGCTGAATAGAAAGTTTTCCTGCACACTTACATTTCCATCGAAAAACTTGCCCTTAAATCTGTGGTTTAGGTGGATAAGTTCACCTTCTCCTTCCTGGACTCCATTTACCCAATGACCAACATACTTGGATCCTGTGTCTTTGTAGATGTATGCACCTTGCCCAAGCCTAAGGAAAAAAAATAACGATTTTGCTTTATATCACCGAATATTAGGAATTTAGGATGTTTTCATACTTAAGTTATTCAAACTTCATTCATTAAGCAGCTGAAATGACTCAATTGGGACTAAACTGTCAAGGTCACCCTTGGACTTGATTTGCTGCAGTCAGACATTATTTTGAAAATAATCTTTGCATTTTAATGCCATTGGGTGACTTGAAACATCCCTGTAAGAATGGAACAAACCTGTTGTGGTTAAGCCATTCTCCAGAATAGATGTCTCCATTTGCAAATGTATATTCTCCATAGCCATGTCTCTGGTCATCCACCCAGTCTCCTTTAATGAGAACGTGGCAAAAAGTGAGATATTTCATTGTATGATAGAGTGTTCCATTTGTACAGTTACCATATAATTATTAGAGAAGGAAAAGAAAGCTATGACACCGCTGTGATTCCTTACTATTCCTTATACCACTCCTTACTCTAAGCCCTTGTTCTTTTCTCATCAGCCTGTTCCTCTCCACAGGGATTTATGCTGCTGCCTGATCTCCTTTCCAATTTGTCCATCATGGCCTGTCTTCATTATCACTCTCCATTATCATTATGAACACAAAAGGCCATGTAACAACCTGCTCCTGTCTTTAAATCGGGTAATGTATTACAATTGCATTAGATAATGTGACATTTCCATAAAAATTTAAAGAGGAGATACTTTAATTTGACCCATTTGCTGAAGTTGTCCTGTCACATGCACCCAAAAGGATGCTGGATTGTGTTTTAATTATGTTTCTACTCGAACCTAAAAGAAATTTGAATAACAAAATGAAAACCACAGGTGCATATGCTCCTGCAAGGCAAGACTGGGCTGCTCTCTTTGCTCTCAGCTTCTAGCCCTCACAATGAGAATTGTGAATGTCTTGCCTAGCTTAGAAAAGAGGGGAGGAAATACTGTCCCTTGAATTTTAACTGATCCTCAGTGTTTCAGGTACTCTCCTGCAAGCAGGAAACAATGTGATTTCACCTTCAAACTTCAGAGACTTCCCAGTCCCTGAGTAAGGGCTCTAAGAAGCAGACTGGTTTTTTTAAGGATGGACCTAATAAAGGCCTAAAATACCATAGTACCTAAACCAAAATAATACCTTCAATACCTGAACACATCTGTGGTTCAAATTATCATTCAGAAATAAGCAACTATACTTTCCTCTACTAAGACTGCACTGATTTGTAAGAGATGCTTAATATTCCTCAGGACTTGGAACACCCCACTTGAAAGGACAGGACAAGAATAAACCACTACTGAATCTCACATTTCTCACAATAATCAACATAAATCTCCATAAACAAACCCCAAACTTCTCAAAACTATTACTAAGAAATAAAAGGAAAACACCTTGTAGAGAATGTATCTTCTTAAAAGAACACATTCCCCAATTCACTACCTCCTTGCATTGGGAGGTGGTGGGGAGGAAGGTGAGGGGGGAATGTGTCCTTGCAGTTACAGAAATCCTTGCACTGTGTTCAGTGTTTTACCTGCATATTTTGATCCATCTGGATAATAAAAGATACCCTTGCCATGTTTTTTGTTTTGAAGATACTCTCCAGTGTAGATAGCACCATTTTCAAACCTGTAGGTCCCCTGAAACATATGTGGGACAGAGAAAACACTGGTCAGTTGTCATTCTTGTTTCAGCATAGCGTTCAAACTACAGGACTGTAGAAACATAAGCACAAACAGTGTGTCTTACACGTCCACTTCTCAGACCATGTTGGTAGTCTCCTTCGTACTTAGCACCGTTGGGCAGTAGTGCTTTGCCGTATCCGTGTCGCTCCCCTTCGGCATTGCGCTCACCATCGTATTCCTGGGCAAACGTGGGAAGAGAGTGGTTAGGAAGGGCTGAACCTGGCTGAATCCCACCTGATTACACAGAGGCAAACAGCTGTTTGTGCAAAGATCATAGGATCATACAATCAATCGGGTTGGAAGAGACCTCCAAGATCATCGAGTCCAACCCTCCTGTGGTCACTAGACCATGGCACTAAGTGCCACATCCAGTCTCAGTTTGAAAACCTCCAGGGATGGTGAATCCACCACCTCCCTGGGCAGCACATTCCAATGCCTGAGCACTCTCTCTGTGAAAAATCTCTTCCTAATAGCCAACCTAACCCTCCCCTGGCAGAGCTTGAGTCTGTGCCCTCTTGTCCTGCTGCTGGTTGCCTGGGAGAAGAGACCAACTCCAGTCTGGCTCGAATCAGGTCCCGCAGTGACACTGGTAACGCGTGGATGGGATGAAAACCAGGCACGACACCCCAAAACACCCGTGCCCGCGGGGGAAGCGCCTCGGGAGCTCTCCCAGCCCCGCGGATCAGGACGGATATCTCTCCCGTCTC